CGAATCATTACCACAAATATCCGGGTACCCACGGGTCCCCATTTACCATTTAAATTGTGGTAATAAAAAATAACTCGTCCGATAACGTTAAGTAACTCTCAGAAAAGAGGAAGAAAAAAAGAAAAGAAAAAAAATTATCAAATATATCCTCCTTAAATTATTTAATATTTTATTTAAAATTTTGCCAAATTCTCTTTTTTATTCATATTATGTGAATTATATATATATATATTAAATGGTCGGGTACCCATGACCGTAAAGATAAAACCAGAACCATACCAAAACCATTACCAAACCTTAATGGTTTCAGTAAGGACGGGTTTTAAACGGAGCGGATACCCGCGGATAGCTAGCGGTTTGGGTTTTTTTTGCCATCCCTACTTCTAACTAATAGCCCCAATAAATTAAGAGTTGTGTTATTTCCACCTTCGAAATATCTCAATGTAACACCAAAGATTATAAAATGTCATAAATACCCCTCAAATTTATAATCCACCACCCTTCATTATTTTCACTTAATCTTCATGAGTTCTAAGTTATTTCTGTTTTATTTTATATTTTTAATTTTTAGAATTTAATTTATTTTATTATTATTTTGCAATGAAATATTTAGTACAAAATATTTAAACTTCCATATCAGATGATACTACAAACTAATTAAAAAAAAATTAGGAAACGAAATTATATTAAGCCAAATGGGCCGATTCTGGAGGAAGTTCAGGACCTTCCATACAATCAATCTTAATTTATTTCTTAAAAAACGTAAATTTCTAGTTTTTTTTACTTTCAAAAATGTTTTTCTTTGACTAAAGTATTAATCACTTAAGATGGATGGGCTGAGATTTCCAATGAAAATGAGGGGGTTATCAATATTTTTTTTATTAAATTTTTAATTAGTTTAGTGGTAGATGATTTATAAATTTGTAAAAAATATAGGTGAAAGAAGAGGAAAATGGTAGATTGAGAAATATATTTAATTTGATGGTAAAATAAGATATTCTGAAGGTGGAAATAACACCTCTCTCAATTAATAAATGGGATGAAAATGATAAATTAATGATTACATTGACCATGGGCCGGGTCGGATCACCTCCGATCCATTTAATGGACAAGTCAGAATTTGGCTCTAAATAAATCATATCGAAATAAAGAGTCTTTTTATGTGGTTCAAAATTGTGATAAGAGTGCAAGAGTCGACAGTAATCAGTGACAAGAAGCAAGAAGCAAGTTGCTTTAATAGTAGTTACCATGGTCGGAACACCATTCACATTTCTTACAGTCGACACAGAATAGCTGCACAAACCCTTCGATTGTGTACTATAAAAAGATTTGGTGTAAAATACTATAAAAAAAATCGATGGTACAAAGTACAAAAGTGCTAGATTTATTTCGCCTTTGATCCATATAATGCTATAATGGACAAATCATATTATCATACTAAAAGAGCCTATTTGGTTTGAGTGTCTTGATATATAAGGTGGAATGGGATATATAATATTGTGATTAAAAGCATGATGACTTATATCAGTCATATTATTTAGTTTGTGATATTATGTCATGACTAATAAGCTTCTGATGAATACTACGCCGTTTTGTTTGGATGATATGAAATTATTAGTTGGGATTTGTAACAAGTTGTCATAAATGCCCTTATATAAGGTTTGAGTGTCTTGATATATAAGGTCATGTGATGGGATACATAATATTGTGATTAAAAGCATGATGACTTATATTAGTCATATTATTTGGTTTGTGATATTATGTCATGACTAATAATCTTTTGATGAATACTACGCCATTTTGTTTGGATGATATGAAGTTATTAGCTGGGATTTGTAACAAGTTGTCGTAAATGCCCTTAACTGACATTATTAAAGTATCCACTTCTTCTTTACATCTAAGCTTTCAAACCCCCCTTTCGAACCAAATCCGTCGTAATCCTAATTTGGTATTTTTTGAAATCGAATTTGCCGACTATTGAAGTGTTCAATTCTTTGGAGAATGAATAGTACCAGCAGTAGTAGCTCAAGAAAGAGTACGAGAAACTACAAATACGGCGCATTCGACATACGCGATCAACCATTTTTTTGCGATTGCGGCGTAAAGCTACTTCTCCAAACTTCATGGACGCGAAAATAGTTTCAAAACAAACACTGGAAAATGTCTTCAGCTGCAAATCTCATACGAGAGAATACACAACAGTTAGAAAAACCGATCCAAATTTCGTCGAACACATTTCAGCACAAATTTTACACATCAAGGTAAACTAACATTAAATCTGAAACAAAAAAAAAAATAAAATATAGAGATTGTACATACTCAATAATCCAAAATTGAGTACATAAGTGACTTCTAAAATTAATTCGAAATATATGGTGTTCTGCAAGAGGGTTTTAGTATGCAATTTCACCGGATTAGAAGGGATTAGGAAAGAGTATAATTAATTTAAACACGAAACATGAGAAAGAGGAAATTAATAACAGTTAATAAAATCGATTATACCAATTGTGAAAAATAACCTCTTCTTCCTCACAGACGATCTAATTACTTGGTAATGGTGTTGTTTTCCTAACAAAAGTAAATGATTAAGATTAAATGCGCATTTGTAAGATTGAGTTATAGATTTGTCGAATCTGAAAAGGGCGGAGAAGGACAGGACCTTACGTTCCAAAAACTTAGGGTTCATCGATGTTAAGGGTGGGGTGTTTTTGAGATGGAGAAAATTATTTATATGTAAGGATTATGTAATTAATTAAGTAGTTTGAGGTCAACAACGACATTGCAGAGACTTAGATGATGGAATTATTTGATGACAAATTATCAAGCCGAATTTGGCTTCACTGTCAATAATTCAAATGGGGAATGAAAACAGTGGACCCACTTATCAACATTTGACCAAACTACCAAACAAAACAGCTTATTCGGAGTTATTGATTGTCCCATCAAGCTTAATAATGGAAACCAAATGGGATGTTTGGTTATGTCTCTATTCGTATTTTCTAGTTTTCAAAATTTCTGATAGAGAAAATAGATGTATTGGTTTTTGTGTGGAAAATGGAATATGTTTGGTTGTGGTGAGTTTTTTTTACGAAAGTAAGTGAAAAATAGAATATAATGATTGATGATGGTGGTGGTGGTTATTATTATTTGCACCATTATTATTATTATAAGAGAGAGAAATGGGAGGAGAGAGAGTGTATATATTAATGAGAATAGATAAATGAGAGGAGAGAGAGTGTGAATATTAATAAAGAGATATGAATAAAAGGAAAGGAAAATGAGTTGGTAGAATAAAATACATAGGTTAGTAGTTTGTTTTAGTATGTTTGAAAATTGAAAAAAAATATAAATATTGTATTTTCAGTAGAAATTTGATAAAAAAAAATGGAATTTTCGGGATAAAATTACCAAACAAATATGATCTCGATTTTAAGGAATATAATGTTTGGAAATAAAAACAAACATCCCAAGAAAGCCCTCCCTATTTTTGTGTGGTTCATAATTGTGATAAAGAGTCAAGACAGTGAACAACGACAAGAAGCAAGTACAAGTTGCTTCAGTACCATGGTCGGAACACCATTCACATTTCTTACATTCGACCGTCTCTACACACAAACCCTTTGATCTCAAATCCATTTTTTTCGGCCATGGAATCCCAATCCCACCACCTTCACTTCGTCTTGTTCCCTCTCATGGCTCCAGGTCACATGATCCCCATGATCGACATCGCCAAACTCCTCGCACTCCGCGGCGTCATCGTTTCCATAATCACAACACCCCAGAACGCGATCCGGTTCGGCTCCACAATTGCCCGCGCTGTGAAATCCGGGCTGCTAATCCGAATCGTCGAAATCCGTTTCCCGGCGGTGGAAGCTGGGTTGCCGGAAGGATGCGAGAATCTCGACGCTCTCCCTTCACTGGGCATGGTCATCAACTTCTTTGCCGCGCTCAATTTGTTGCAGAAAGACGTAGGCAAGGTGTTCGACGAAATGACTCCTCGGCCGAGCTGCATAATCTCCGACATGGGCTTGCCTTGGACGACCCAAATCGCCGAAAAGTTTGGAATCCCGAGGATCGTGTTCCATGGAACCTGCTGCTTCTCCCTTCTCTGCTCGCACAACGTTCGGTCCTCGCAGATTCTTGATTCCGTTGAATCGGACACGGACTACTTTGAGGTTCCGAACCTGCCCGATCGGATCATGTTAAGGAAATCGTGGGTTGGTAATTCAATGGCCAAGAAATCGGCCGCCTTGAAAGAAACCACCGATCAGATATTAGCAGCGGAGAAGACGTCTTACGGTGTGGTGGTGAATAGCTTCGAGGATCTCGAACCGGAGTACGTGAAGGGGTACAGCAAGGCCAAAGGCGAAAAAGTATGGTGCATCGGCCCCGTTTCGCTCTGCAATAAAGATAGCCTCGATTTATCCGAAAGGGGCAACACTTCATCCATTAACGATCAAGATTGCTTGAAATGGCTCGACTCGCACGAGCCCAAATCCGTAATTTACGCGAGCCTCGGCTCGTTAGCTCGTCTCACAACAGAACAAAAAGCAGAGCTAGCGCTCGGTTTAGAGGCGTCGAACAGGCCTTTCGTATGGGCATTGGGTGGAGGCAAACTAGAAGCATTCGAGGAATGGATATCGGAAAACGGGTTCGAAGAAAGGACTAAAGACAGAGGGTTACTCGTCCACGGGTGGGCCCCGCAGGTGCTGATTCTCGCGCACCGGGCGGTGGGCGGATTCTTGACGCACTGCGGGTGGAATTCGACGCTCGAAGGGATATCGGCGGGTGTGCCGATGGTGACGTGGCCATTTTTCGCGGATCAGTTTTGCAACGAGAAATTGGTGGTTCAGTTGCTGAGAACTGGAGTGAGCATCGGAGTGGAAGTGCCGGTTAAGTGGGGAGAGGAGGAGAAGAGTGGCGTGGTGGTGACGAAGGATGATGTCACTAAAGCTTTGGATTTGGTGATGGATGACGGAGACGAAGGTGAAGAGAGGAGGAGAAGGGCGTGTGAGATTGGAGAAACGGCGAAGAAGGCAGTTGAAGAAGGTGGTTCTTCTTATTTGAACATAACGTTGTTGATTGAAGAAATCAAGGCAAAAATAATCAAGTGATGGAGAATGCAGTTTGTTGGTTGTAATGCTTTTTTTGTCTGGATATTTTTACTATGTTTTTATGTGGTGTGAAAATGTGTTTGTTTTTGTTAAGGGTGGAAATTGGAATGTAATTTCCGATTCCCGCCGATTCTGATCCGAAATTTTCTGATTTTGGAACAATATGTTACATTCCGAATTCCGACTTCCAATTTTTCCGAAATTATTTGGATCGGAATTGGAATATATATTAGATTATGATTTCCGATTCGATTAAAGCTCCGAAAATAATTGCAAATATTACAATTAAAATACCAATATTATTATGCATTTTATAGTTAAGGTGAGCAAAAATTAGAAAATTCCAAATTTTGCCGCTTCCGATCCGAAATTTTCCTATTTTGGAACAACCTTTTTCGTTCCAATTTCCGCTAGTGTTTCACTTGAGAAAAAAAATTGGAATTCTTCTGAAATGGCTAAATTCGGATTCAATCTACACCCCTAGTTTATATGCTTCATTATATCCGCCGTGCAAATTATTCTCATTTGTCAATTTCATAAACAAGAAATTTGCGTTAAACAACTACCATTTCAATACGCTAACATGTTACAATTGATCTCTACGCAACAAAGTTAGCTCCATAATATCCCGAATTAAAGCCGATATATTCAATCTCGCCGAACCACCATCCTCCATTTTACTCACCGCAACCGCCTTCAACCGCCTCGCGTCGATTCTCCTCCGCTCACCTTCCTCCCCGCCGCCCATCAACGCCGCCACAGCACTCGCAACCTGCCCCTTCACCACCGCCACCCCGACCCTCTCTTCCTCACCCCACCTCACCGGCAACTCCACCCCAACTCTCACCCCAATCCCCAGCACCTCCACAACAAGCTTCTCGTTCAAGAACTGCTCCGCAAACATCGGCCACGTCATCATCGGAATCCCCGAACAAACACCTTCTATCGTCGAATTCCAACCGCAGTGCGTCAGAAACCCACCTATCGCACCGTGCGACAGAATCAAAACCTGTGGGGCCCACCCTTTGATCAAGAGCCCCCTCCCTCTAACCCTATCCTCAAATCCCTCATCCAAAAGCCATTTCTCCATCTCATCGAATCTCTCCCCTCGTTTAATAACCCATACGAACGGACGCCCCGATTCTTCGAGCCCGAGCCCGATCTCGATCAACTGCGCCGGAATCAACCGGCACTGACTACCTAAACACGCGTAGACAACCGATTCCGGCTCCATCGAATCGAGCCATTCCAAACACGCCTTCTCGTCGATCGAGGCGCGGTTGCCTCTCTCGAACTTATCGGCCGATTCGCCGTTGCACAGCGACACGGGCCCGATGCACCACACTTTCTTGTCGACGGCGCGTACGTACTCTTCGACGCAGCCGCCTTCGAGCTCGGAGAAAGTGTTCATCACGACGCCGTAGGCGTTCGACTCCGCCACGTGCATTTGCTCCCTAACGTCGTCGAGATCGGGAAGCGCGAGAAACGAGCCCGGGAGGTGGGCTTTCGCTATCCTCACGGTGACCGGCATCCCCGGGATGACAAACGGCTCGTGATCTGACGTCACCGACACGTGCGGTTTGTGGAGATTCAGATTGTGGGAGCTCAGCAGGGAAAAACAGGACATCCCGTGGAAGACTAGCCTCGGGATGTTGAAATCGGCGGCGAGTTTGGATGTCCAGGAGAGGCACTTGTCGGAGATGATGCAGCTCGGCGGCGGGTTCTGCTCCAGGAGGTGTTGCTCGAGGGGGCGGTGGAGCTTGTCCAGGGCGGCGTAGAATTTTCTGAGGAGGTTTCTGGAAGGGACGCTGTCGAGATTCTCGCAGCCGGGGGGGAGGCCGACTTCGTGGCAGGGGAATGGGATCTCGATGAGGCGGATGTGGAGGCCGGCGGCGTGGGCGCGGTGGATGGTGGCGGAGAATCTGGCGGCGTTGTGGGGGGTGGTGACTAGGGTGGTGACGACGCCGCCGCCGCCGTGTTGGGCGAGTAGCTTGGCCATGTCGATCATTGGTATCATGTGGCCTTGTGCTGGTAGTGGGATTAGCACGAAGTGTACTTTTTCCATTTTTTATTTTTTTAATTTTTTTTATTTGGGATGATATTTGTTAAATTATTATTGAAATGGGATTTCTACAAAGTAGAAAATTTTGGGTTTGGTTTTGAAATGTTTAGAATATTGGGATGAAGGGGGTCTTCTAAAGTGAGCTTGACTAGGTCTGAGTTGAATCGGAGTCAATTGAATTGATTTTGATGGGCGTGTAACAAGGGATGAGTTTTTTATTTTATTTTTTTTCTTCGGAAAGCGAGTTTGTTTACTTGCATTTGCATCACCGGCCCCGTCTTTCACGTCTATATTTTTTTCTTATTTTCTTAACTTTTTCTTTCTTATCATTTCACATTTAGTATCCCTTTGGATCTAGCCTTATCAGATTCTACACGTGAAATACACCACTACCCACTAAGCATATAAACATAGGGGTGAGTGTTATTATGTGTCGATAAACGATGTAAAACTACATAATGCATTTCATCAGATGTACGTAGGGCTGAAAGTCGGAAGGATCGGATCGGAATTGGCCTTTTCGAAATATTTACAAAAAAATTCGGAAGTACAAAATCAATTCCAATTCCAATTCCGAAATTTTCGGAATCTAAAAATTCATTACAATTCCAAAAGGCCCGGAAATTTCGGAATTTCGGAAATGACATAAGTATTAAAATTTCGAAACTTCGCTGAAAATTTCATAATTTGCTAAAAATAAAAACATCCACGTGGATAAAAATAACTACTAAATTTCAATTCAAAAAATAAATAAAAATAAACGCCATCATAATATCCAATAAAACTTCTAGCAAAAAATTAAATAAACTTCTTGGCTTTGCACAAGAAATAATAAACGTAAAACTAGGGTTTTACATAAAATAAACTAGGGTTTTTTTAGGTGACATGGCCCATAAAGAATAAATACAACTAAATAATGTAAAATAAGTATACTATAATATATATATATATATATATATTACTCAAAGATATATTTTTTGGAAAAAAATCGGTTTTTTTCGGAAAAAAATCGGAATTTTTTCGGAATTAATTTCGGAAATAATCGGATCGGAAATCGGAAATTCCAATTTTTTTTATATAATTCCAATTCCAATCCAAAAAATTCGGAAAAAATCGGAAATCGGAATTTCGGAAATCGGAATGAAAAAAGTTGTTCCAAAATTGGAACTTTTCGGATCGGAATCGGCGGAAATCGGAATTTCCGTTCCAACTTGCACCCCTAGGTGTACGTTCTAAAAAAATTGGATTTTGAATTTCAAAATCAATAAATGGAAAGTGTAATGGAAAATCTAAGGGGTCAGAATGCTTTTGTAGAACCTAAACTTGGTGAAATATACCTTGTAGTTTTACATCTTTGATCTATACATAATAACTCACACCCACATGTGTATGTGTTAGTTGGCAGTTATTTTTGTAAATTTACAGTTTAAAGCCACATGGTGTATTTCATCGGGTGTAGGATCTCATAAGCCGTCGGGAGCTGAAATAGGAAAAAAGATCAAAATCACAAAATATGTTTGGATTTTAAGAAAATTACTCATGATTTTTTTATTTACTTGCCGGTTACCACTTTCCAGTAAATCAAGAACTAATATATAATAAGGTAAATTACGGCAATCCTTTGAGGTAAATTCAAATTATAAAAAAAAGGGCAAAGTTCATTTTACCTACCTGAACTATACCCAACGTATAAAATACCCCCCTGAACTTCAAAATGAATCAAAACAGTCCCTCCGTTAAAAATCCATCCACCTCTGCTGACATGGCACATTGACTTTTTAAATTATATCCAGTGGCATGACAAGTGGCTTTTTCCGGACAATTTTACCCCTTCAGTACTTTTATATATATGGTCTAATTAGAGGGGTTTTTGTTAATCAGTTAATGCAATTAAATATTTAATTTTTATTTTCCGTCAAATAAATAAATAAACTGCGAATCAATATTTAATTTTTATTCTAATTTTAAAAGTAAAGTAATTTTTTTTTTGTTGAGTAAAAAAATAAAGTAATCTAATTAAAAGAAAAAACACAATATAATTAAAAGAAGTCGTAATCCAATTTGCTTGATCAAACCCTCCCAATGCACTCATCTCCTCCGCAGCTGCACCATATCACGACCCAATTCGAATTCATCAAGATTCAAATTCCTGGAGGATAAGTGCCAGTGAAAAACGAATTCGGAGGAAAACCAAAGAGAAACCCAATACAAATCCCTTTTATAAAGGTCACACAATCAGGTTGATGTTTTCGTCGGATTGATGTTTTCGTCGGATTCCGCCGACATCTTGGTCGTGTAGGGCGGAGCAAAGTCGGAGCTGCGCTGGTTTCACAACGAAGAGTTCAAATTTCTTCTGGATTCATTTTTTCCGGTCGCCACCGCCAACGGAAACCCAAATAGGGGTTTGTGAGAAGCTTGACCTCCCGCCGGAAAAACATGACCGAATCCTTAATTTCAGATGTGTGAAAGTAGGTTTTATTGTTTTATGGGTCATGGTACTAGAGAGAGAAGAGGAACAATGGTGATGTGTTTGATGAACATCACTTCTTTAGAAAGAAAGAAAATGGACGAAGAAAGAAAAGGATGATGAGGGAGAAAAAGTTGGAGAGAGAATATGCTGGACAAAAATGTAAAAACACATAAAAACTAACGGAGTTAAAAATTGTAACGGTTTAAACGTTGACTCAAAATTGGAAGGGGCTATTTTGGTTCATTTCAAAGTTCAGGGAGGTATTTTATACCTTGGGTGTAGTTCAGGTAGGTAAAATGAACTTTACCCTAAAAAAAAATCATGTTTGGGTAATTACAACCACCCCTCAACTATTAATTTTTTATATGTCCACCCTTGTGGTGTGAAATTTTGTGAAATCTTTTAGATTACGTAAAATATTCTCCATTTTGTAACCGTCTTACCTCATTCGAACTCCACACTTTGAAATAAGATGATCATAAGGTGTGTCTCTTGGCTTGTACATATTAAAATATGGTGCATCAGAAACTGTATTTTTGCACAAAAACGAGTACAACTAGAGAACATTTCACGGAATCTAGAAGATTATGTTGAATTGACACCAAAGGGGTGGACGTGTGAAAAGATTCATAGTTGAGAAGAGTGGTTGTAATTACTCATACAATAAGTGTTTTTTTTCATAATTTTGCATTACCTCGGGGGTGGCCATAATTTGCCTTATAAATACAAATCAGTTGTTGTTCGTATATTTTCTCAAATTGCAAATCGTAAGTTCGAAACGGCCATTAAACCGCGAGTCTATAAAAATAAATATGAACATACCGTGTAATGGAGAATTCACAGAAATAATTAAAAAAAAAATTATAATCCCTCCTATTATATCAATTAATAATTATATAGCACTATTGTCTCAATTATTTTTTTTTCTGTCTTTCCATAACAATAATTTAATTCCTAAAAAATTGCTTCCAAATTCATAAAAATATGATACCAAATAATATATATATATATATATATATTTGAATTTTTTATTTTTTATTATTTTGGATTTATTTCGCATTATTTTAAATATTTTTTTAATAAAAATATTTTTTTTAATTTTTATTAAACAAAAAATTGAATTTTTTTTCTCGACATATTTACTACGTCGAATATGACTATAGTTGAATATGACTATATGTGACTATATCAACTGTAGTCATATTTTTTTCTTTATATTGCAGTTTTTTACATTTTCAATTTAAAAATTCCAATTATATAGTGTGGTACAGTCATGTTTACCAAATTATATAAAACAACGAAAATTTCCTATTGTTTACGAAAATATTCAATCAACATCCACACAAAAAATCACAATTTGAATGTTGTTATTACAAGTCAACTTGAAACGAAAATATAGAACATATTTGAATATGACTACAGTCATATTCAACAATAGTCATATTCGAATATGACTGCAGTCATATTCAAACAATAGTCATATTCGAATATGACTATAGTCATGTTACTGCTGCTAGTTCAGATCTGGAGAACAAAAAAAAATTTGAATATGACTATAGCTAGTCATGTTACTGCTGCTAGTTTAGATCTGAAGGAAAAAAAATCGAAAATACACAAATAGAGATAGAAATATAACGAAAGATATGGAAGGGAAGTTGACGACAACGGCAGTGGCGGCGGTGAACGAATGAGAGAGTATGAGAAGCGGCGACGGTGGTGGTGGTGGTGGATAGATCAGGAAATAAAAACCTGAATATCGAACTTAATTTGCAATGTGATCGGATAAAATAATTATTTATTCTTCTATATGATAAAACGAGAAGTTTAGCTACCTCTTCTTTGGTTGTACAATGGAGTCCCTTGCATTCTTTGTGAAAAAAACTTGTATTGTTTTTTAATCGCATCTTCCTTCTTCGAATTCGTCAGAATTGATTGGAACCACTCTTCATCATCATCATCATATACTATGTTATTCGTGATTCGCGTAACAATAAGAAATTAATAAATCACTAATCGAGTGAATCAACAATAGTCATATTCGAACCAGACTATAATCACGTTACTGTTGCTGCTTCAGATCTGGGGAGAAAAAAAAAAGCAAAAAATCAAAAATAAAGAAAGGGAGGGAGGGGGAGGCGACGAAAACGACGCTGAATGAAAGAGAGAGCGAGAGAGGTAGCTATGGTGGTGGTGGTGGCCAAATCTGGAGGAAAAACAAAACTAAAAAATCGAGAGAGATAACGAAAAACGGGAATCCTCATGTAGAAATCACGCATTCGACAAAGGGCGGTGACGTGTAGGGGAGGCACTGACGCCACCACTTTTACCAGACGTCGATGTGGTGGTGTTGGACGAAGCGGGAGACGATCTTGAGGACCTCTTGCTTTGGGTTTCGGTCGGCCGGCGGTTGAAAGGTATTGTTGGCTCCGGCGGTGACGAATGCACAAATAACGGTTGCTAGGGTGAGCAGACTACGGCGAGAGAGAGAGAGAGAGAGAGAGAGAGAGAGAGAGAGAGAGAGAGAGAGAGAGAGAGAGAGAGAGAGAGAGAGAGAGAGAGAGAGAGAGAGAGAGAGAGAGAGAGAGAGAGAGAGAGAGAGAGAGAGAGAGAGAGAGAGGGAGATTGAGAGAAATGTATCACGTTAAAAACCTAACCATATAAGGGCGCTCGTATCATGTCTGGTTAGGAGGGTCTCACTAATTTATATTGGAATTTGAGTTTTATTCTTAATATTTTCTAAATAAAGGGTATTGCATATTACCCCTCAATTTAAATTTAGTTACTCCTTTTGTACCATAATATTTATTTTTTTGGAAAACTTTATTTGTTTCAAATCATTTATCACTTTAACGGTGAAACAATTCACGAGAAAATGATACTTTTAGGTTGTGTTTGATATAATTAAGCACTGAACACTAAATGTTGAA